ATTTTGAATTCGGAATTTTATTTTTACCAATTCGAAATCGGAATAATTGTCTCTCTCTCTCTCTCTCTCTNGAATCCAATTCTTTACCAGAATTCAAAGAAAACATGTTTCGATAATTAATTTCATTCATGTTTTCACTGACAATTACATCCACACACAGTTGTTCTTGGAAAAAAACCCACCAGAAACAAAAAAAAAACAAGAAGAAAAAATAAAGTGTGTTTGGTGAGAAATTCAAAATGGAATTCAATTCTTTGGTTGTTTTTTCATTAAATCATTCATAAGAAATTCATTGAAATTCATAATTTTTTGGAAAAATTGAAAAATAAAAATGAAAATTTATTCAATCAGTTAGTTCTGTGTTTGTGTGTGCGATGTACAACAATTTTTAAATTTAAAATTCATTTTTCGTTTCATTCATTCATCAATTGAATTGAAATGAAAATTTTCGGCAAACAAAATCGACAAGAACGAAAATAAAACTTGGTTGATATCAAACAAAAAATTTTCCAGAAAATTTTTTACACTATTTTTTTCTCGAAAATTTTTTCGAATAATGAATTTAAACGATGAAAAGGTTGGTAGATCAATGAACAAATATTATTTAAACATTTAGGAAAAATTTTTTTCATTCCATATTCATCATTAAATCATTGGAGAAAAAAGAAAATTTCATTTTCCAAAAAAAAAAAAGAGAAACACCGAAATGTTTCATTCATGTTTCTCTCTCTCTCTCTCTCTCTCTCTCTCTCTCTAGCTATTTCTCCGCAATTCTATTGTTAGTTTCCTGGGAAATATTCTCCCTATGTTTTTTTTTTCTTCTTCTTCTTTTTGTTACATAACAACAACAACAACAACAACGACAATAAAGAAGATTCGAAAAAAAAAAATATATTCATCATTTCAGTATTGTAATTTGGAAAAGAATTTTCCAAATTTTATTTTCATTTTGAATTCGGAATTTTTTTTTATATTTTTATTTTTACCAATTCGAAATCGGAATAATTGTCTCTCTCTCTCTCTCTCTCTCTCTCTCTCCAGTGGAATTATCATTCTGTTTTGTTTTTTTCTGCTGTTGTTTGATCGGTTGAAAGATATACATTTTTGCTTCCAATCGGTGGTTGTTGTCGTTGTTGTCTATCGATTCCANCCTCTCTCTCTCTCTCTCTCTCTCTCTCTCTCTCTCTCTCTCTTTGTGGAATGTAATTTTTTTTTTTTTACTAAACAACCAACCAACCAATGATGATGATGAAAAATCTATGAAATGAGAAATTCTTCAATTCACTAATTTCAATCTCAAACGTTTTATTGTTGTTGTTTTGTTGTTCAAGATTCATTATCCGGTTGATTGAAAATTTTTGCTATTCTCTTTCTCTCTGCGCTTTTTTTCTGTTGTTTGTTATTTAGTTTTTTCAATGGAAATCCATTCGTTGTTTGTTTCTCTTTCTTTTGCTTTTGATGGTCTTGTTGTTACAAAATTCTTAATTAGATTATTTACATTAATTGGTATAATTTGTTTTCAGTTTTCAATTTAGTTTACAATTTGGAATTTTTTTCCATCCTGTTTTGCAACAAACAAAAAAATAGGTGGGTGAGTGGGTTAAATAAATCTAAATCTTTTCAATCGTTTTATGCAAATTTTTTGTTGTTGTTGTTGTCGTCGTTTTTAACATTGTATCCATCATTTGATCCCAATTTCAATCAATCAATCGATCATTCCATTCAATTTGATTCGATTCAAGTCTTATTTCTCTTGATTTTGTCTTGTTCCGGATGATCCAATTCGAATAACAATGATGATAAACATCCATATTTGATGACAGGAAACAAGGCAATCTTTTGAAATGTAATCTAAATAAAATAAGAAACGAAAAATCGAAAAGTCCATTCAGCTTTCAATGGGAATAAAAATGTAAATGATCCCGAGGACAAGCAAGAATGTTTTATTGCCATTTCTTTTCTTTTTTTGATATTTTGACATTTACTAATACGATTAACCCTGAAGATAGCCAGAAGTTGTCATCATTGATTTTCGTTTTCAACAAACAAACAAACAACAAACTGTAGTATAGTTGACCAAATGCACTGTGTATAAATCAATCAATTGAATAAATTCGATTAATTTCATTCGATGATATGATCTGATCTTCTTGATATGATGATTAATTGAATTGTTATTTAAGAAAAATTTCCCGGCAAAAAAATTTCCATAAATTTTCTCTATTTCTATAAACTTTTTTTTCCCCTTATTCATTGGTAGACAAACCAAACAGCAAAATATGTGTTGATCTGACAAAATTCTTTTCCCCAAAAAAAACTAAACATAAGAAATATCATTCCAAACATTTTCTATCTTTCTTAGATTTTTTCTCTTTACTATGGATGATTAAGTGGTTCACACACTGATATCCCCCCCAATCGAAACAAAATAATAAAACGAAAAGTAAACATACATACACACACAGCGAGAATCAGAAACTTTTCCCCTTCGATTGAAACTACAAATACAGAATCAAATCCAAGATCAATTTTTCGTTTTCGTTGAAATATGTCGTTTTCATCGTTTTCATCGTTTAACAATCATGTATCAACATCTTCGTCGTCATCGTTGTTGTTGTTGTTGTTAATTCCTTGTTGGCAAAGAATTTTTTTCTACATTTATTTTCTTTTTAACCATCCATTCTCCCCCCATGGAATATACATTTTTCTGGGGGAGGGGGTGTTATTGTTTTCATCATCATCATCATCATTATTGAACGAATAGTGAATGTGGGGAAAAAATGAAACCAGAACGTTCTTCTATTTTTGGAATTTTCCAAAACTATTCGGGGTTTTTATTTTTCTTTGCTTTCATACCCGGGTTGAAATTAAGATCCAGAAACAGAAACAGAAACGAACGAACGAAAAAACATTATTATTGACAGTGTGACATTTATTATACACACACACATCGTGTATCGATGGATTAATCAACAAACAAACAGAAGTAAAAAAAACTGCACAAACGAAAATCGATATGACCGAATATATCAATCGAATAACCGAAAAAAAGAAACGAAATTTTCGTTTTCCGTTTTTCGGGAAAAAAAATTTGTCTTTAAAATAGAAGAAAAAAGATAGAGAGAGAGAGAGAGAGAGAGAGAGAGAGAGAGATTAACATTTGATATGTGTCAATTTGTTGTTTGTTTGTTTGTTTGCTGAGATTATTATTAGATTTGAAGTAGGAAAAAACTTTTCTTTTTTTTCTTGTTTGTTTGTCGGTGTTAATAATCTTATCTTATTGATGGTTTGTATTGTTTTTCACACTGTCATCGAAATTCTTTTTCAACAGAAAAAACCCGATAAACTTTTTCATTTTCGCAATAATTACCTTACTGTTCTCATTGGAAAACTTAATTATTTTTCCGATGAACAAAAANATATGCGTCGTTTATTTGCTGTAGTCCTATGTGTTTTTCGAAATCTCCGGTAGCGAACGCGTTAATAATATCAAATAAAATTTTGGAGTTATGCTCCTTAAAAAAAAAAAAAAAAAAAAAAAAAAAAAAACACACACACACACACACAGCGAGAATCAGAAACTTTTTCCTTTCCCCTTCGATTGAAACAACAAATACAGAATCAAATCCAAGATCGATTTTTCGTTTTCGTTGAAATATGTCGTTTTCATCGCTTAACAATCATGTATCGTTGTCGTCATCTTTGTTGTTGTTAATTCCTTGTTGGCAAAGAATTTTTTTCTACATTTATTTTCTCTTTTTAACCATCCATTCTCCCCCCTGGAATATACATTTTTTTAGGGTGTTATTGTTTTCATCATCATTATTGAACGAATAGTGAATGTGGGAAAAAAATGAGAATGGAACCAGAATTCTTCTATTTTTGGAATTTTCCAAAACTATTCGGGTTTTTATTTCTTTGCTTTCATACCCGGGTTGAAATTAAGATCCTGAAACAGAAACAGAAACGAACGAACGAAAAAAAAACATTATTATTGACAGTGTGACATTTATTATATACACACACACACATACATATCGTGTATCGATGGATTAATCAACAAACAAACAAACAAACAGAAGTAAAAAAAACTGTACAAACGAAAATCGATATGACCGAATATATCAATCGAATAACCGAAAAGAAACGAAATTTTCGTTTGGGGAAAAAAATTTGTCTTTAAAATAGAAGAAAAAAAAATAGAAAGAGAGAGAGAGAGATTAACATTTGATATGTGTCAATTTGTTGTTTGTTTGTTGTTGCTGATTATTATTAGATTTGAAGTAGGAAAAAACTTTTTTTTTTGTTTGTCGGTGTTAATAATCTTNTCTTATCTTATTGATGGTTTGTATTGTTTTTCACACTGTCATCGAAATTCTTTTTCAACAGAAAAAACCCGATAAACTTTTTCATTTTCGCAATAATTACCTTACTGTTCTCATTTGAAAACTTAATTATTTTTCTGATGAACAAAAAAAAAATTTAGTTCAATATTTTAACCCTTTAAATCCTGAACGGTGGAATTTTTCTTTTTCGATTCATAAATTATTAATTGGAAAAAGATTCGGAGAATTTTTTTTTTAAAGAAAATTTTCTTTTCAATAAAATTTCCGGATTTTTTGGAAAGTTTTCTTTGGCTCGATCCCTGTTTGCAATTAAAATAGTGAAAACAAAAATGAATCTCATCATCATCATTTGAGGAAATGATGATGAAAAAGTTTTTTTTTTTTTGTTCAAACAAAAATTAATTTCTCCATTATAATCATCATCATCATCATCATCATTATTCTCGTGGAAAAGAATTGTCCTCGGCTTTTTGAATTATTTTTTTTTCATCAGAAAAAATCCAAATGAGAAAAGAGCAGATTTTATTGAATTTTTCGAATGAATTTTTGGCTTTTGCGCTGATTGTGTGTCTATATAATTTTTTTTTTTCGAATTCAATCTGTACTAGTGTTTATGAACGGTTTTCTTTTTTTGACAGCGGCGCATTCTCTCAAAAAAAATTTTTCTGCATTGTCACGCTGATTCAGCTGATGTGTTTTTTGAGTGTTTGTTCATTCTGTTTTGTGAATTTGGATTTTTCTTGCCGGTTTTTTGTTTTTGATTTTGTTTCTTTCTTTCTCTCTTTCTTGTTCCAGAATTTTGTCCCGATTTTCTTTGTTTAATTAAACTGTTGTCATTCATTCATTCATTCATTCAATCAATTTGTTATCATCGATCTGATAAACTGAAACCAAAACAATAAAAAAAAAAACAAAGAAAAAAATGTTTCGTAATCAATATGATAATGATGTTACAACATGGTCACCACAAGGCCGATTACATCAGGTTGAATATGCTATGGAAGCTGTTAAACAAGGATCAACAGCAATTGGTTTGAAAAATCGTGAATTTGCTATATTGGTCGCATTGAAACGTACATCACATGAATTATCATCGTATCAGAAAAAATTGATTCAAGTTGATGATCATATTGGTGTTGCTATTGCTGGTCTTACTGCTGATGGTCGTATATTAACACGTTATATGCGTAATGAATGTCTTAATGAACGTTTTACACATGAACAACCATTATTATTGAATCGTTTAATGACCGATATGGGTTTAAAAATGCAAACCTGTACACAACGTTATGATCGTCGTCCATATGGTGTTGGTTTAATTGTTGGTGGTTATGATAAAACTGGTCCACATATTTATCAAACATGTCCATCGGCAAATTATTTTGATTGTAAATCAATGGCAATTGGTTCACGTTCACAATCGGCTCGTACTTATTTGGAAAAACATATGGATAAATTTAATGATTGTCAACGTGATGAATTAGTTAAACATGGTTTACTTGCATTACGTGAATGTTTACCAAATGATACACAATTAACATCACAAAATGTTAGTATCGGTATTGTTGGTAAAGATTTTCCATTTCGTATATTTGAAGATGAAAAAGTGGAACAATTTTTATCACCATTAACTGATGCAGAAAAACGTGGCCGTTCAACACAATCGGCTACAACACAGCCACCATCTGTAAGTAGAGATGCTGCAATGGATATTGATGAACAACAACCACCACCAGGACCAGCCGATCCAAGTGTTGAACAACGTCCACCTGGACCACAATAAATAAATAAATGTTTTTTTTTTCGTTTGTTTACTGAATTTCTGGAATAACAACCAAATTGAAAAAACAAATTCAGATGTTTTTTATTATTATTAAAAATGAATGAAATTCAAAAAACAATGTTTGATTTGATTTGATTTAAAATTTCCAAAAAATAAAATAAAATTCTTTGCTTTTTCAATGAAAATAATAATGATGATATGAGATTCAGATTCTGGTTAATGTTTGTTGTTTGCATTGTTGTATATTACACACTGAATTTTTTGGTAGTAAATAAAAATGATTTTGGTCTTGTCGATAATCAATTAATTTTTTTCCCGAAAAAAAGATTCCTATATAAAACGTACCTAAATGAATTTTTTGTGTTACACATTCGTCGATATACACACAGACAAACAATAAATGGATTTTCTTTGGGAAAAGTTTACCGAATCTTTCTCTTCGATTAGAAGAATAGAATAGAATAAACATTGATAATGATGAAAAAAAAGATTTTCTTGATACAATATTTATATTTGGGATTTTCATCAACGTATTTTGTCCATTTCTTCAATTAATTAATGATTACCAAATTTGGACACTATATAGTAAAATGAATGTTTTGAATTCTTTCCGTTTCCGCATGTGTAGAATTCCATAAAAAAATGAATAATGTTTTTTTTTCGGTGGAAAATTCCATATTTTTGTTCTTTTTTACACACAGAATATTCTGTCGGTTGCAAGACAATAATTTGTTGTTGTTGTTGTTGTTTTGGATCGGAGAATAAATATTCTTTATCATCGTTTTCATCATATTAAAATGAATAATGCTCAAATGCGGAAATATTCATTAAATGTTTATGCGTATTTCGGGTGTTTGAAAATTATTATTTTTGATAAACGGAAATTATCATTATTCATTGATTGTTTGATATTTGATCCCGGGAAATCAAAATTTACCTGAAAATACTGTCATACCGACCAAAAATGCCCTAATTTTTGATTGAATTCAGCAATTTTTCGATTTACAAAAACAAAATTTGTCAATTTTAATTTCAATCAAAAAAAATCCAACAAGAGAAAAAACACACATCTTAGAGAAACAAAACCGATGGGAATTTGATTTGGCAATTGGTTCAAGTGGAAGGCAGAACTGTGTTTTTGATTGAAAAAAAAATCCTGTAAATCTTTCAATTGTAAAAAAATGATGGATAGGAACAACCTTATGGTTTTTTTACCCGAAAAAAACAACAACAACAAAATTCAGAAGAAAAAATCAAATCAAAATTTGAATTGAATGAAAATTTTCTTATTTTTCTCTTTTTCTCTTTCTTTCTTTCCCTGTTTCCTTACCTATCGATCAAATAGAAAGAAAAAAATAAATTCTTTTAGATTATCAACCGTTTTTTGGGGGGTGGTAAAAAAAATTGAACATCAAAATCTTCAAATTGGATTCTTCAATTTTGATTCGAGTAAAAAAAAAGAGGTTTGTTGTTGTTGTTTTTATTGTACCAGAAATATGAATCACAGAAAAAAAAAGAAGTTTTGCCAGGATTTACCGAGAAAGGAAAATAACCAAATTATTCTTTTCCACTTTTTGTGATTGGAAAAAAGGTGAAATTCTGCCAAAAAAGAAAAGAAGAAAATTCAATTTTCAATTTCCAAATCACTGAAAATTGAAATTTTCAATGACAATTTCTCAATTTAGACAAACAGACAAAATAACCATCCAGCAAAAAGGGAATCCATTCTTTTTCTTCCTATTTTGATTAAAATAATAATAATGATGGCCCTAAAAAATGAACGAGGAAAATTTCCATAACATTCAAAGATTTTGATCGATTTCGGTGTGTGTGTGTGTGGAAATAGAACATATGCAGAATTCTCTTATTCATATTCCAGAATCTTTATTAAAAAAAAGGCGATCCACTTAGCCACACATAGACGTTGGAAACGGCAAAAAATCAGGTTACATCGTTGATTCTTGTTTCATTTTTGCCTTTCGTTTTTCGTTTGGTTGTGCATAATATATGAACATAAGATTGACAGTAAGTGAATGAGCGAGAGAGAGAGTGAAAAACACATACAAAGAACACACACTTTGAAAATGTAACATTAATGTTTTTCTTTTTCATTGGGTGCAATAAGAAAGTGAAAGGAAGAAAAACAATCCACTAGGAATTCCATACAGAATGAAATGAGAAATATATTATTATTACTTACATCTTGTTTTCTTGATTCTTGATTTTGATTTGATTTACCATGTTTTTGTTGTTGTTGTTTCTTGTTTTCTTCGGTAATGTTTTTTCGGAGTTAGATTTTTTTCTTCACTTCTTGCTGGGTCATTTGATTTTTTTTTTGTTTTTCTCGTTGTTGTTGTTGCTGGCATTGAATAATTACCCCAAATTTTTTTTTATGAAAAACTTTTTCCATGGAAAAGGTCAATCGTTTGTCGATGGTTGCTGTTGGTGTTTAGGTTCCAAACACACATACACTTTGAATTTGAATTCTGTCAAGATTCTGTTGTTTTCTCTGGTCTTTTCCGGATTCTATAAAATCCCAATGATAAATGAATTTACATACATAATATGTCATTTCAGATTTTTAAAACACAAAAAAAAACAAATCAAAAAATTTGTGGTTGGTTATGGGTGAAAAACGAATTTTCAATGAATAAAAAACGAAACAACAACGAAACAACAAAACAATCATCATCATGATGGACAGTTTTTTCTTGGCTTTCTTCATTCTTGAATGTCAAGAATAATTTAATTCTTATTTTACATGTTTTTTCTTTGTTATTATTATATTCTTCGATTCTGCATTATGTCATTCTTGTTAAGTGTATGTGTGTGACATCCCCCACACCACCAATTCTTTCATTATTGAATTCTGTGATGTAATGTTTGATGTGATATTTCCATTTATGGATCCATGGTGAAAACAACAACAACAACAACGAAAAATTCATTTATTTCCAAACATGTCGCAAATGAAAATATACATCTTTTCTTTTCTTTTGTTGTTGTTGTTTTGGGTTTTAAAACTTTTGTTGTTGTTGTTTGGTTGCAGTATAAACTTTCTCTCTTTCTCTGTGTGTGTATTTGTGTGATGCAAGAATGTCTTCATCATCATCATCATCATCATCATCATCATATGGTGATATCCAACAGGAATTTTGTATGCAAAAAAAAATTGAATGAGAAATTGATGGTTGTTGTTGTTTTCTTGGGGGGGAGAAATGATGATGACAGAATATTCTATACATTTAGGATACATGGATAATATGACATTATTGAAAAAAGAAAAATTTGAAAGAATTTATTCACCAACAACAACAACAATGATTTTGATGATAAATTGTTGTTGTTGTTGTTGCCGAGAAGAAAACCAGAATAAAACTACAAATTCAACTCTTTCTGGTTTGATAGATAAATTCTTCAACAAAAAAAAAGAGATGAGAATCTAGCTACCCAAACAACCAAACAACAACAACAGAATTGTCAAGTTCTATGACCTTATTTTTGTGATTGACAAAAATGAAAAGAAAAGAAAAGAGAAAATGTTGTTGTTACTGTTGTTGTAAACAATTCTTGTTTTCGATGACAACATTTGAATTGATAATCTATACTTGAAAGAGCTGTACTGAATGAATTTCTTCTTAATTCTTTTACTTCTGCTACAGTATTCATTGCGAAAAACACGTTTTTCAATTGTAAAGCTAATTCCAGGAATTAGATGTTCGTTTTTGGAAAATAAGAAATTTTTTTTTTTTTTTGAATCGAAATCGGATCGATCGAACTGAATGTGAAAACGAAAGAAGAATAAAGAAAGTTCTTTACAGAATCAGAATCCCACCATAATGATTATAGTATTTTCTTTTTGACGATGATGATGATGATGATGATGTGATGAAATCGATAAATTTTCGCGTTTGGTTTAAGCGTGAATATCGGTAATAATGATGATGATGACGACAACAATAACAATAACAACAACAACAACGATAACCGATAACGAAAAGAAAAAGTTCAAATTTTGTGATAATAACACTATTTACACTTTAGTAATAGTGTGTATGTGTTTGTGTAAAGTATGTGACAATAGTTTTTTTCGTAAATTAGGTAAATTGGCGTTATTGTACACTATTTGTTTCGCTTGTTTTGTTTTGTTTTGTTTTGTTTTTTCGTTCAATGTTTTTTCATTATAATAATGAAAAAAGTGTAGTGTAGTTTCTTTTTTCTGTTCCATTTCGATTGATTTGATCCATTTATCCATCCATCCATCCATATTTTGAATCAAATATGGATCCACATTTTGTAACAGCATTGAGATTGTATTAGTTTTGTTGTTGTTGTTGCGATGAATATTGAAAATGAAAATGGATTTTTTGCTGTTTTGAATACCGAAATATCGATTTTTTTTTTGCTGTTCAGAATAGTTTTCGGGAATTTATTTGGAAAAGTTTTCGAGAAAAAAAAAAGTTTCCGAAATTTTTTTTCCATTCGAAAATTGATTATAATTAATTTGAAATTCCTTTTCTTTTCGTTGTTGACTTTGTCTATTGACATATTCTATTGTCAATTTTCCACCAATTCGAAACACTTATGGATATTGGCGTTGGTGTTTTGGAGTGTATGGTGTTAATTAATGACAAGATTTTCTTGTTTGTTTGTGTTTGTAAATGTCACGTTTCTCTCTTTCTCTCTCTCTCCCTCGCATTTAAATTAATTGTTTTTTTTTTGGATGTTTTTCGTCGTCGATCGTTGTCGTTCGATAAACAACCCGGTGTTAAAAAAAAAATAATCATCAAAAATCGATACGACAAAAATCAATTAACTTTTTTTTTGTTGAAGAAATGGATAACAATTTAACAATTAACCAAAACCATCTTGGTTATCAATTAGCCGGGCAAAAAAAAAATGTTGAAAAATTATTTTTGAATACCGTCATTCTTTGGTTGAAACATTCATGAATGATTCATAGAAGTGATGATACAATGTTTTTAAAAATTTTTGAAATTTTAAAAAGTTTTTTAATGGATAATGTTGACATTATAGTTAAAAAC